CCACGACAATTATATATCATTTTTATTTATAAATTGCCTTTTTTAGGATTACTTTGAACACCTGATTCAGAAATCGTAAATTATTGTAATATGATTGTGTCCTCTGGATTAAACATACTTTTATATAATTTCAGAAAATAATTAACTCAAAAATAGCAATCAAATATGGCTACCACATAATTCCTTTTGTCTTCAAAGTTTCTTTTTTTTTCTAAATGTCATGATTATTTAGATGCACTTGCACTTGTTCATTTATTTTTTTTGAAATTCACAATTAATATCAGTATTAATAAATGTATACTATCCACATGCAAGTTATATATTATGCATCATTGAATAAAATTTTAAACTATTCACACTTACTATTTACTACCGTAAAAACCCATGTAATCTGCGCACCTGTGTAATTTGCGCAGGTACTTTTTGAAAACATTGGTACTAACTTGAAAATCGCACCTCAAAAATTGTATCACAGCAATGATCTTTCATAAACCGAGTTGTAAACACATACATGTTCTAGTTGTCTAAATGTACATCATAGATCTATAGGTCAATAACATGAACATATGTATACTGTGTCCATTTCCGATGAGGTCTTTTTTATCTGGAAACCTCGATACAATAATATCATTTTATTTACTGATTTGTTTCAGAAATCACCTCTGCATAAACGTAACTTACACAAGTTTTTTTTAGCTTTTCATACAATTTCATACCATCCCTAAGCTTCCTGTAACCATTGCAAGATTCGCTTTTAATGACAAAAAACAACTGTTTTGCAATAGAAGTAGTTAACCGGTAAGAAGTTTTTTATATACATAAGTATGGCACTTCAAAATATTTGATTATTCTCAACTTTTAATGGATCTCCTTTGGGTTTGAATGTACTATTTACTATTATTCATGTGTAACAGCACTAAAAACTACACAAACCCTATACCTGTATGCTTCTCCAAAACATTTTGTCCTAAATATACTACTCATTATAACTAGGGAACAACAAGCAGTATGACAATTGAAGATCAGAATAACCTCACCATGTACAGTGAAACGTTTCTAAACCAGACAGAGAAATCTAAACCTTTACATAAGTTACATAGAAATGCTTACAATGCGACCTCAGTCATATAAAATAACATCGCACAAGGGACTACATCTGGGTGTGGCTTAGGCTGGCAGGTTACACTATACTAATGGGTAGTAAAACAATACACTACTTCTTTATTTACCTACATTGTATAGACAGTTCTAGCCTTTATCATATTGAAGTGAGGGAATTTTGAACTTAAAGTAAAACTGATGTGCTACACTTGTATATATGGTATCCACTTGGATCACATCACTTTAAAAATAAATACGTAAGATAAAGTTGATACAAGACAGGACATCTGACTAACCTCCACCATCTGATAATGTTTTGAAGGGCTGTACATGTTTTTGCACTTGTTGACTTCTTTTGTCAATAATAACATGTAGCTTTAGGGCTACTGAACTTTCTACATCAGATGATTAGCAAAATAATGTCCTATATATTGCACACGACAGAGGATGGATATCATATCTAAAATACAGAAACAAAATCACATTTTATAGAGATAATTATTGTTAAGTGGTGTTCTATTGAACACAAAGAAGATTATAATATTAATGCTTGATTTCTCATCCCATTTGTAATAACATTTAAAAAATGTTGGCTAATTTATTAAATAAAATATTAGCAAATTAACAAACCAGTTGTTCTATTCGGATAAAGACACGTGTCACCAATCTTTTGTACAAAATTGACTGATTTAATTCCAATGTTTTCTGACCAAATATCTGGGTATACTGGCTCTAGGTTCATAATACCTTCTCAAAATAGAGAAGCTTCCTTCTTTTTTCATCACAACCAAAGTCTGGGTTTTTTAACATACACAAATGGAAACCATACACAAATGGAAACCATTAACAAATGGAAACCATACACAAATGGAAACCATACACAAATGGAAATCTACCAATATTGTTAGAAAATTAACAAACTATATATGTTGATGTCTATTTATGACTATTGCATACAAGATCAAATATTCTCCCTCATCTCAACGTTATTATTATTTGTGAAACTGGGACTTTACCTGCAACGTGAAACATAAGATAATTCAAAATGTAAAAAAAAATGTCAGGCATTTCACACCAGCTGGTCGTTAAATTTGAATGTGTTTGTGAATTTTCCATCAAAACCACAGAAATTTGATCATGTTTTTCCAATTCTGATCTTACTCACTTAAATCTACATATAATTAAATTGGTTAATACTTCAAAATAATTGTCTTGGAACAAACCTTTCATTGTAGATGCATGGATAAGCAAACAAAATATGCTATCAACAATTTCTTTTAAAGATAAGACGTGGTCCCTAGAGTTTGTTAATGTTTTACTGTACAAATGAATTGCCTGTTTATGACTCAAATACATCTGCTCCTAATAACTATAATTAATTAAAACCTTTCCCCTTTCACTCTCGGAATCTTAATGGGATCTAGAAACTGTGTGATGGTCTACAGATCCTTTTCTGCTATACACAACCAAAGCATGGCATGAATTTGTACATCAATACAATCACGCCATATGTATCCTATACACAACGCATGCTACAATAATGAGTGTATTTGTGACAGACACATACCATCATACTAATTGCACATTTTTAAAATCCCAAAATATTATTGATAAACTAGGTAACTGACCTGGCCTCAGGACCCAAAATGCAATGGTTAAAAACATGCATGGACACTTTATCTAATAATTTCATAAGTAGTTAAAAAAGGTCCATTGTTTAACACCAGTGTTGTGAAGAACTAATAGAAAAATATTTATCACATTACTTCCTGGTTGTCATACAGTATATTTAATGCAGGTAGATTTTATACTTGTTCACCTGACATGATCTATTACGTACATTCTGTAAATAGTTTTAGGTAATTTCATCTGAAGTGCTTTGCAACCATGCTGCCTTTTATCATCAAATGTACATTGTTATGTTTTATTCTTCAACTATAATCCATGCATCTAAAATACTATTTTAAGCCTACATAACCAGATACATATCAGATAACATGTGAAGATGTTGTTTTACATAATTTTTGGAACTAACCGACTTAAAAATTGTCACATAAAACATACAGATATGTCTTGAGACTCAGAGTAGAAACATATTAAGTGCCTCCAAAAGTTAGGGTCATATCCTACCTCACTAGTCAAAAATACCAGGCACAAATACACCTGTAGCAGCTACAAACATCTAGTATGTTGAAGATATTCCTACTTTATGATAGTCCATCAGACTACCCGGTTTTAGAGTAAGATCCATGCCCTCAATACAACCATTAAGCAGACACAAACAATCAAGATCTCTGAGATACTCAGATAAGTTATGGTCCATCAGACTCCACTACCTCATTTTAGGAGTGTGACCCCTTCCCTCAATACACCCATTCACAAACATCCAGAATCTCAGAGATACTCGTATATATTATAGTTCATCAGACTCCACTTGATGCTATCTTGTTTTACGAGTGTGACCCCTAACCCCAATACACCCAAAAACGAGTGTGACCCCTAACCCCAATAAACCCATTTATCAGCCACAAACATCCAGGTTCTCCATCATGTTGTACATCAGACTCCACTACCCCGTTCTATGGGTATGACGCCTACCCCAACGCCACCTTCATGGGCCATCATTGGAGCCACAAATATCCAAGTGTCAGTATCAGGGCTATACATTTCAACTGATGTCAAGTTACTGATCCCGTCGTAGCCACCTATGGCATACAACTTTCCATAGACTGTTACCAAGGCAACACGGCTACGCCTTACTTGCATGGATTTGATCTCTGTCCATTTGTCTGTCAGTGGGTCATAACACTCAACTGTATTGAGAAACACCGACCCATCGTATCCTCCTGCTGCATATAGTTTCCCATTTAAAACAGCAACGCCGAGACGACACCTCTTGGTCAGCATTGGAGTCACATAAGCCCAGTGGTTGGTTGATGCATTATAACATTCCACCTGATTAAGGATAAAGAGTATTTTGATCAGCCCCAATGTTCACATAGACAACTCCTGATAACAAATCAATTATAAGTATTATTTTGAGTTCACAAGGGCTAATTTTTACTATCTTTCGTGCTTTAAAATTGCTCAAACACATTAAAAAAAAAATAACATAAAAAAAGAAGAATAGAATTAATGAGAATAGAAAAACTCCTTTCCCTCTTTATCTAACTGAAAGAAATTATTCCACCTTATATGATTAAAGAATAGATAAATTATTTGAAACCTTTATGAGGTATCTTGAAATGCATCACTTACAGAATCAAAAATGGAGAGTCCATCATGCCCTCCACAAGCATAGATAAGACCGTCCAAACAGGCCACACCTGACGCACTCCGGGGCTTCAGCATGTTACACAAGGGGTTCCATCTTTAGAAATTGTAATTTTTATAGTTATATACTGATATCACATAGCAGTAACTGTTTATGTACAGGTATATAAACAAACCATTACAATGAACTTGGTTATAACTTTACCAGCTGTCACACTGTATTATCACATAGTGTCAGTTAATTAAGGTTTGATCAAGATGAGGCCACAGGTAAAACATTTACCATCAAGAACACTTAATGTATATAAATGTCTTTTCATTACAAAGTTGTCCATACTCTGTGGATATTGCAAAATTACACTACAAAGGTAGCGTCTTGCTTCAAACCTTTTCTCATTTATAAATATTTATTTAATTAAGTAAGTTTAGATCATAATTTATGAAGGTTTGCAATAGGAATGCAATAGGAAACGACAAAAATATCTGAGAAAAGAAAACAGATGTCACAAGCAAATACATTACAAGATAATTCCAATGAATGACATTGATGCTGACTGCGACACCAATACCAAAATGGATCCTATACTCACTGGTCCCGTTCAGTATCGTACTTCTCCACCGACCGCAGCGAGGACAGGCCATCATAGCCACCACATACATACAGGTGACCATTCAGTGCCACTGATCCCAGAGCACTGGCAACATATAAAAGACCTTAACATGTATCTATTATACATATACGGTTGGATAAGTGGCAGTAGAGTTTCTTGTACCAGAAAAGTGGCAGCAGAGTTTCTTGTACCAGAAAAGTGGAGCAGAGCTAATTATGTCCATATACAAAGATGTACTGTACTGTACAAAAAGTATTTCAAATTCTTACAGAAGTGCAGCAACTCTTTTGGTCAATATTTAATAGCTAAAATGACTTACTTCATTTTCAATGTGACTCTGAGAAATTTTGCAGGTAATATATACCCACTTTTGTCCTTAGTCAGTGAACTTGTTTGATCTAGTTTGCAAAGTCCTGTATGTAAAGACTTTAGCAAATGGATACGAGTGTACAATGTTCCAATATATTTGTTATTACAATTCACAATGCTAACAGTCAACATATAACAACCAAGTGGTTCTTGGATGACCACAGGCATCATGAGACAAACATCAGAGAATCAATATTAAATTAATCTCTTCATTGGAGTTAAACACTTTCACTAGTTTTCCTCTAAGATACACACCTTCTCTTACAGTTCATGCTGGCTACACACTTCCAGGTCTTGCTGTCTCTGTGAAAAACCTCTACCGTGCTTAGGCGCTCAGACCCATCATACCCTCCTATGGCATACAGACAGCCTGCAGTAGGAAATATGATTTGTTTATACCATGTGTGGCATGAAAAAGTATTTTATTATTCAGTAATATATAATAGATTTTTTGTTAAATATCCTTATCCATTTGTGGTCACAAGTAATTATAAGTCTGTTTGTTATTTTCATAGTTCTTACACTTCCATGCTACTCTTACATGACATGTCTAAATATTATCAGCTGATTAATCAGGTATGGAGTGGTTAAAAATATAAAATCAGGTATGACAAGTAACAATATGCTATACCTAATAACAGCCTTGTCATAGTGGAGACAAAAATATCTAAACTACGAAGCTTATACATGCATTTGCAGGCCTCTGTCAGTTCCAGTATGTAATTGGCTGAGTAACAACGCTCCTTTATTTTAAAAAGGTCTACTTCTCTTTAATATTGAACCAAGTCTTACATTAATGTCTGGAGCTGAAAGTTTTTCTCTAGAATGTTGAATTTATGGTTAAAACCTACTGTGGAAAGCATAAAACAACACTGCCACGATAATTATTCAGTATATAGTAACTCACCATTGAGGATAGCGACACCCACTCTGCTTCTTATGGTACTCATGGCCTCAGCTACAGACCACCTGTTGACTATGGGGTCATAGTTTTCAACCGTACTGAGCGAGTCACCTAGAAAATGAACATTTTTATACATGCACATATTATATTTATATATAAAATTAAAGAATCAGCTACAAAAAAAAAAATCTTTTAGAAACAACAAAAAATTATAAGTAGTGCTGTCACAAAACTCTGATAAAGGTTCAATGCTAGCCATTATCTTGGCTGTGAAAAGCCAAGTACTTCAAAGTGGGGTTTAGAAATTAATTCAACTTATATAAGTGCAGGTTGTCATAATGCATCCAGCTTTTATTTCACATATTTTTACTTGAGTTATTAATTAGTTTTGTAGAAAATTATAACTGTTGAATTTATGATACTGATATTAGAAAATCAAAAGTGGTACTTGATCCCAAATGATGTAAAGTGTTAACTTGTAGATTCACTTTACTGCAAACAATCACAGCTGTGACATAACCCAGTATAGAAAGTGATACAGTGTATAGGATTAATTATCACTAGCTTCATATGGTAACTAAACGCAATGGTGTACCAGAAGAGGTGAGGCCGCCAACAGCATATATAATTCCTGGAATGTCTGAACAGCAGCGAGGCCGAGCCTTGAATGTTTGAAGGAGATAGCGACGCTCTGGCATCAGGTGGTAGTCTTTGGCTTCATCAACAAGATCCCTGGGCGACAAAACAATTTGTATATCAATGAAAACATTGATGTGCAAAAACAAGCATATAAGTTCATTTTATTAACATTTTTTGTTCCCATTAATAATATTCAAAAGGTTTAGTTTGAACTGAATGTTGCCCGTTAAATAACATAAATCAGGTAAAATATAATATAACTTTTTGCATTAAGTCATTTTTTCAAGGATATTGCATAACTATAATTGAATTATCTAACATGAAAGAAACAGATATACATCTGTTGTTACTTCTTCTGCATACAAAATCCACTTCAGTAATGCTTAATTTTAATGCTGGATCAGAACTATCGAAAATATTGACAATGTGCATTGGTGTTTTTTCAACTTGAAATGTGTACTAAATACACCGAACGTGTACATGTCTCCAAGTTTGCACCCATGATGATTATTCCCTCTAGTTGTTTTTAAGGTTCAAAGATCTAGTACATTAACAAACCTGCACAGAAGGCAGTTTTTGATGAGATCCTCAGAAGCCACTCGATCAGACAGGTACTGTGGAGTGAGGAGAGGCAGTCTCACGTTAATCATCAGCTCAGGTAGAATCAGCTTACGGTCAATGTCATCTTCCTTCTTCACCCAGGATATCACCGACTCAAACACCTGAAAAATTACACAGTCTATCACAGACACAAGG